AGCGGAATGTTTTGTCAAGACTTCCTTTAATTGTTCAGGATCACTAATCACCACAGCAGGAGTTGGTCCAAGCCATACAAAGCAGTGTTTACCTGGAAAAAAATTCAGCAAATCCTCTGTTATCAAGAAAGAAAAAAAAAAAAAAAAAGCAGAGAATTTGGAAGATATAACAGCGGAGAATATATGTTTATATCTGCATAGTGCATATGACCTTTGTTTTGAATGGTTTGGTAAAAGAATGGCATGATTCTTGGGATGATATCATTGTTCAGATTGATCGGCTTCGACATGGATTCTTCGAGTTTCATTGCCATCTCTTTTGTGTCGCCAAACAATAACCTGTAAGGACTTCCATTGAGGCCTTGTTCTCTCAGGCATTTCTCCAGCTTTTTTGGCCTCAACCATGCCCAGTTCAGAATTTTCCACCCCAACCAAGAAAGCCACAGTACAAGTGCTATACTGCAAAGAACTGCAAACCTGAAGATGCCAAAAGTTCCCATTTCTTCCTACAGCTAGCTCTTTGAATTGAATTGTGTGATTTAAGGGTTCTACGTGTAATTTAGGTTGATTAAAGGGTGCAAAAATGTTATTCCCCCCTTCCCAAAATAGTTTGTTCTGCTCGTCAAAGTTTCACAAACAAGACTCTTACTCTAGTGTTTACTCCAACATTCTAGTTTTTAACTTTCGAAAACAGTTGGAATGTGAAAAAGGCCAAAGGAAAGTATGATTATTGTATAAAAATGGCCGGCGGGATATAACATATAAGATGCTAATTTGTTTTGTTTGTTTCTTTTTGCCTAGTGGGGTACTCCAAAGTTTCCTCTTGAAGGAAAGTGCATTCTTGCTAGTTTCCAAATTTTCGCATCTAACCAACTAATTCAATACTCATAATTGAACATTTGAACGTTATCCTTTTTGCTAGCCCAATTTGAATCACCGAAGCAATTTAAGAGGAGCATGAATTAGATTTTTAAAAATAAGTCTTTCTATATAGTATTTGATACCAGATGGATTTAATCCGTCATTTCCAATCAGCTACCACAATGCATATTTTTTTTTGAGAAATTGAATTGGAGAATTTAGATTAATTTGACGGCATACATGACATCATAGCAATTGAACTAGATTTTCAAATTAAATCGGATAATTTATGATTAAAATCCATAATATTGAAACGATACTCCAATAAATACTACTACCCTTGGTACCGATAAATAATACAATAAATACTTAAAATGAATTCATATTTCCTTCTAAAAATACATAACATTACCATTGAAGCAAATTTCATTTCGTATATATAAATAAAATAATATAATGTAATAGATAACACAGCTTATAAGTCGCTAAATTAGCTCATTATCTCATGTTGAATGAGTGGCTCATCCCATCTCATTGAGACAAGTCAACATTTACATATGTCCATTGATTTCGTACAAACAGTCAGTTACACAGTGATGAGTTAAAGCTTGTTTAGCCTTTACCTTGAATATAGGTATTGGCGGGTGTTTATTCATAAGGTATCAGACGTTTGAAGTTAGTAATCAAAATTACATAATTTGTATGATTTATTTAGTTTATAAAATTCCCCTATCCACTAAAATTATAGAAATAGTTCGTTATACATTTTTAGTTTAATATACAACTTTTTTTAAAAGGAGGGAATAATCTCTATTAATCATGCTTTATCTCAAAATAGTTGTCTAGTGTAATTTTTATTTTTACTCCAATTTATACTAAAAGTGAAATCTAAAATCGGACAATTGTTTCAATCGGAGTGGGTAATACTAGATTAGTAATTTGAATGGAATGCCATTTTATTACCTTAATAAGATGGATATACTCCCTTCATTCAAAAATGAATGTTCAATTTGCATTTTAACTTTAATACAACTAAAAATGAAAATCAAAGTTTAGCAATCATTTTGGTATAGTGGGAGTAAAATTCTAAGTAGAAGATGTCTCACTTATATTCTCTTGCACTTGTGAAGGGTAAAAAAAATCAATGTATATATATGTTGCCCATTAAAGTTTCTTACAATATACTTTTCATTAATTGTACAAGACCGCAACCAAATTGAGCTACTTTGTTCTCGAATTATAATCGACTTGTGTTGCTTATGTGGAAGTAAGACGAACCAAGGGTGTTTGTAAATGAGATGCTAATTAATTCGGAAGCCAAAATGTTAATTGTGCTGTTAATCACATGTTTCTTCTTATTATGTTTGGGTGCGTGAGATTTATGTACCTCAAAATTAAATGGGTAGAAAGAATAATGCTTAGGGTTGAAAGTGTAGAAATTTATGTGTTTCTCGCATTCAGCATCTGCGAAAAAAAAAACATTCACAATTCCCTAATGCGAACAATATTAATTCGGTTTTTAATTACTTAAACTAAGCCAATATTTACAGAAGAAGTAAAAAAAATATTAAGTTTAACTTTCGCATAAGGGAAATGTGAAACTTTTATATACTTAAATATTATAACGAATGACACGGGTGCTGTTGACGCTTGAAAATTTTACGAGAAAAGAAAGATTCGCATATGTCGAATGCGAAAGTTTTTATTTTATTCAAAAATATCTTATGACTCAATGTCAGATTTTTAGTCGCATTTGACCAAAATTTTGCATTCGTCGAATGCGAATATATACATTTTTTCATACCTCAAATGCCAAAATGAACTATAAAAATCTTATTGACCAATCTCTTGTAGACACGTGGCTAGAACTGGATAACTATTTGCATTTCAGAAAGGCGAATGTGATGTTTTTCGCATAAGTCAAATGCGAACAAGGCTTTTTATCTATAAAAATCTTACTAGCCAATCTCTTGTGGACACGTGGTAGGAACTGGATAAATATTCGCATTTCAGAAACGCGAATGTGATGCAAGTACCGTTATTTAAATTCCTCTCCTCTCCCGAAACAGCAGAACAAAACCCATACCAATAATTTTTTTCTTACATTGAGCCTAAAGCTTCATCCCTGAGAGTCATTTGGATAGAGGCATTGTATCAGATTGAAAGCTGTTGGCAGAAATGAGAGCAATTGGACGGAGAAAAATGGGTTAGAAACGAGAGGAATTCATGGTTTAAGAATTGGAGAAACCATTTAGGTATGTTGTTTTGATGTTTTATTGAAAATTTATAGTAATATCATTAATGGTGTTTTGATGTGCGTAATTATTAAGTTATAGTTCAGGTAGTTTATGAAAATTGTTAGTTGAAGTAAATATTGTTATGTATATATTTGATGTAAAATCAAGAATAGAAATTCTTGTTGTGATATAAAATTGTAGAATTTCGTCGAATATTATGTATTCTTTTGTTAATTTAGAAAATGACCCGGCCTATATCGAATTTTGTCTTTATCCTTCAATTTTGTGTATTTTATATTCTGACCCAATTATGAAATAATGTTACTGATTTGACCCAATTTTTTTATTTTTTATTTTTTTAATTAAGTTAATTTTATATTTTATCGTTAATGTCGAGTGATAAATTCATCAAAATTCGTTGAATAAATTTAATTTTAATTGATCAAATGCATTATGTAAAAATAAATTTATTTATTTGATCAAAATTTGTTTTTATTTTAATTGAAAATTTTGTTATTTAGATGTTGCATTATATTTTTGAATTATTAAATTATGTTAGAGATTTTTCAGCATTTTTGGACTTATTGTACCCGTTATTTGGAATAAATAACTGCTAGTGAGGTAGAATATTGTTATAAGAAACATGAATTGGTGTATTTGTATGTTTAATTCAATAAAAATTAAATGTGCATGCCCTTAATATGTCTTTTCTGGGTCCCTTCGATCTGAATATATTATGGTCTAGTGATCGATCTTGTTGGGGAGATGGGATAAGTTATTTCCGCCAGATGCAACAGTTCGTATCGAATGAGTGTGCAGTTTCTCTGAACTTGATAATTATGTACAAAGTTTGTTGGAATCTGAGGACCCAAAAATACCTCCTCTGCAATATGTCTGCACAGATAGGTACGGCAGAAGGGGGCAAGCGCCCATAAGAGACGACGAGCCAATGTCATGGATTTACCGAGGTGCGCATTTGCGTCCAACATTGTACGTAAAGGTTGCAGATGAACCTGTTCACGATGTGGGGGAAGGAACTAGTTGTGGTCAGTATGATGGTGAAAGGACTAGTGGTGTTGGTGGTACAAATGAAGATGGCGATGAAACAGAAGATGATGTACATGGAAGCAGTGACGAGGAGTATGTGCCGTCCGATGAGTCTGATGATGATTACAGTGACCATGACGCATCTTCAGTAGTACCTTCTATTTTTGACGACATCAATGACATGGACAAGTCTGAACTGGATGAGGATTCTAATGGGATCACAATGTGGAATGGTAATTGGCAGACGGTTAGACATGGTGTACATTTTGCTAACAAGAAAGAGGTAAGAACAGCTGTGGGGGAATGGTCAGGGCCGAGCATGTCGGGTAAAATATAGCTGTCTCTATACGTGGGCCGCTGAATGCGAGACTAAAGGGTCAAAGTACCCAGAAGAACTTCTCCACGGCACTACTTGCTTGTGGAAATGTCGAGCTAGGCTGCAAAAAGACACAAATACTTGGAGAATGGTGGTATGGATTGAGAGCCACAACTGTCTTGGTGCAACCACAAGAAACGAAGCTCGAAACTTGATGTCCACAATGATTGCTTGATTGATCGCACTGTCACTTTGGTCACCAATCCATCAGACTATTACAGCCCCGGGGTTTTCAGGGATCTGCTGAGTCACTACATATAATGGTAAGTTACATTTTTACTATTTCTTTAATCACACCCATATTAATATGATTTTTATACATATAACTTTCTAAAATGTTATTATATATTTTTAATTTACCATATATATGTTAATTTATAAAATATATATGTTAATTTATAAAATATATTTATTATATATTTTTAATTTACCATATATTTATTTCCTCTCATAATTTCCAAGCCAATTTAGTGCAAAACATGCGGCAGATTATTCTAGATGGGCTACAACGTAATCCAGCTAATTCTTGGAATCACAATGCCTTCCTACAGCTGCACGATTTGACACAGCAGGCGATGACTGTCAGCAAGACATCTGTTTGGCTGATAGTGAGAACCCAAGCCAGGATTTTGTTCCGACTGACCCAACCCAGGAGTATATCCCACCTAGGCCTCCCAGGACTGATCGAGGCGGGTTCCAGTTAGGGAGTGGGAGGATGAGAAAACATGTGGCCACCCAGGATACTGGCGGGCTATCTTCTACCCCGCATGTGTCTCCTTACCGTCCAGCATCACCACACCACCATCCCTCTCCTCCTTTTGAGCAAATGCATTTTGATTCAGATTTTATTAATCTAGATCCTAATGCGGGGGGTTTCTTTGAGACTAGTTACGAGGGTGGTCATCACAGTCAGCATCTAGGCGGTGACCATATCCATAATGATCAAGAGGATGATCAGGATCAGGAGTACAATCGGGATCAGGAGCATGATGATGAAAGCACCAATGACTCTAATGAAGCTGAGCATTCCTCTCATGATCATGATGAGGGCGCTGATCAGGGTGAGGGCTCAAGCCAGTGCTCGAGACAGGGCCCCAGTGATGGTACCATGCCTTTTACACTGCTTGCTTTGGGTTAGGGACAACGAAACATAAAGAAGAAGAAAAAGTGCTGCATGACAGATTCTCGAGAGAAAAAGAGCAAGAAGTAGAAAAATTAGATTGAATTGTACTTTTATTTTATGCTATTTTATGACTTTTGTTATTAGTTTTAAACAATGCCTTTCATTTCTTTTCATTAACAATTTATTTCGGTTTTATTTAATCTTTAGTAAACTCGAGCTTTTGAATTTTTAAAATGATACAATAGTTTTAAGTTTAAAAAAAATAAAAGGCAAACATTAAAGAAAAAAATTTATCAAAAAGACAATATTATGTACAATTTTTTTAACTCTTACTTTTATACAATACTATCTTTTGCGTTGTGCCAAATTCAAGTTCCCAGGTCGCCAAAAGACCATTGTTAGAAGGAAGTGTGGTTTTACCAAGTTTAGTATGACTAATTATGTTAGATGGAAGCAAGAAAACATGATTGTTCCTGATGGTGTCAATGCCAAGTTTCTTGGCTACCATGCACCATTGGCTAACCGTCAACCTGGAAGAGCCTTCTTGGAAGCAACCTCTTAAGAGCGTTTTATTGAAGCACTTTCTTGTTCAGTGTTCATTGTAATACTGTGCGAATGTGATCTGAGGCCATTGACCACATTATAATTTTGCCATTTTCCTTTATATTAGGTCAGATTCTAAAAATTTTAGTTTTTTTCCTTATTTTAAATGAATTGATTCTAATTTTTATTATGTAAAAAAAATTATTATCCAAAATTTACTAAACTTGATTTTTTGACATTTTATTTTTAATGATGGTAAGTTTTTAAGTTGAAACCAAATAAAAGTCAATTTTTTAAAAAGCAAACTTGGTTACAAAAGGCAAGAATATATTCTAATTTTTTACCGAAATTTTAATTTAATTATTATTCAAATTTTATTATAAATGCATTATACGATTTCTGTTCACCAAATATAATTCATAGCATTACAATTCTATTTAGAACTAACATAAATTTACTTAAATCAAATGAAAACTTTAAATTTAGAAAATTTAAGTTTCAATTAAAATAATTTTTTTTTGAAATATTACAACATTTTATCAACCAAAATATTTAATTTATACCATTTCATTTTATACCAATTTAAAGTTAGGAAATACTTTTTAAATAAAAATTAAAACATTCGCATATGGCATATGCGAACACTTATAATAATTATAGTTATCCAGTTTTAATCCAACGTCTTTAATGCATTGTAATTAATTCAATAAATTTTCGCATTCGTCGAATGTGGAAGTTTGTTTTTTCGCATTTGCCAATTGCGAGAAACATATTTTTTTCTTCCTCCGAAAACCTAGCCATAGTTTTGCCTACGCCACCACCATAGGAGCATATTTTGGTCCTTTTTCGTATTATGTTTCATGTTCCTTCCCGTTGATCTTAAACTCTTGAATCTAACTGGCTTACGGACCTTACGGAAACTACCTTGCAGAAGAATGTGATACTACTAGCTTTACGAGTGCGAGCAGCAACCACATATTCTCTTTACATGGACTCAGATCGCGATAGGTTGCGTTTTCATGAACAATCTTTAGTCTAGAATACTGAAGATGAAATCTGGGAGAAAAGTTGACACAAGTCAAGGCAACAAACTTTCCTTTGCTTGTTTTCATTTTTGGTTCAGAACTTTCATGTGTATAATTGAACCTAATACCATTGTCCATTGGTGTATAAGCTTTGATTTTTAGGATTACATTTTGGTGATCCTAGGATGTTGAATGCAGTTGAAGGCATTAAAGGGCAAGGCAAAATTTTGGGAAATCTGGAAGGAATGGTTGAGGCACAATAGGACCACTAGGAGGATCGATATTGAGGCAATGGCAGAAGAGGGTGATTGTAATTCAAAAAATTTTCTAGCCTTTGTATGACTGGCAATGTAAATTCGGACTCCTTATAATGTATGTTCAATGGATATTATGAAGTATTTTACTACAAACACAAAGTAGTTGAAGAAATAAAATCGATGCACATCAAGATCAAGATATACTACTATAACAGTAACGTGTTAAAGCAATTTTCTGCATAAAAGTACATATGTCAAGACGACGTTAAAATTTTTCATCCCAAAATGTACCAAGTTAGGTTGTCTGCAAGTATCTCTTTTCAATAAACAAATTAATGTCTAAAGCCTGAACTCAAGATTGGTCAAATTGTTGGCAAGTATCTTTTTTCGCTAAACAAATTTATGTTTAAAACATAAACTCAATATTGGTCAAATTATTTTTGCATTTTTAATTGTGCAATGTTTATGGTTAAATATTGAAAATTATATTTTCAATGTTGAATGTACTTTTTTCATCAATATTTATTATTAACCTTATTGCCATTATTATTTTCAGTGTTGACTACAAATTTTTGTAATAAAAAATGTCATCATTTCATGCAATACTTTTCAAAGTTAAATAAATTTAGTCTTTATTTGTAAAGTATTAATATTTTTGTCAATTTCATGATTAATCATCATTGATTCCTATGGTCAATGGTTTTCATCAATGATCAAACATGTTTAACATTTGAAAAATAACTTAATTTTGTGTCAAACCTTTGAAATTCAATTTTCAATATAGAGTTTACACTATTTAAGCATCAAATGTATTGAGGTTCATTATAAACATTAAGTCTCAATACAAAATTTATTCTATAGGAAATAAAAGTAAGATTTCAATGATATTACCGTTATGATATACATTACTTATTACAAATTCACGATTTCAAAGTTAATTTAATTGATATTTTCAATTTAATTTATGTTTTCATGATGAAGATTCATAAATTTTGTTGATAATGTGAGCCATTTAGAAAATGAATACAGTATGAAAGCTCATATCATTCACATTTGGAAGCCTCCAATGTTCAAAGATCCGAACAATTTATTTTTTGTCGAATTGATATTAATTGATGAAAATGTAAATCATTGTATCTTCATAAGTGAATATTGTACGTCATGTGATATTATTATCGAGATTATCCTATATTTTTAACCACTTTGTATTTGCGCAGGAAAACAAGATTCAAGATTCATTGAGGAAGAATTTGAAGAAATAATTTCAGAATGTCATTGTTGAAGAAATTTGGAGTTTTGGAAAACAGTGCAATGTAGAAAATTGTTAAACATCCCTACAAGATCGAATTCAAGCCAACAACCATTGCAGAATCTTTCAATCATATAGATTCTATATCTCTTCATGGATTTCATTTTATTTCATTTGATCAGATAATTGGAGGGAATACTAAGGCCAATACAACTGTTGGTAAAAATATAATTTCAGCTTATTGTTATATTGTTCAATTAGGTTTACTTACCCAAAATGCTTACGGTTCAGGATAATATTTATGGATTCTACAATTTAATCTATCATTTTTTATTTACCTGTGTAGATAGTATTGATGAAATAGTTGAAAAAAAATGATATTCTTCGCTATCAAAAGGATGGTAAAGAAATGCTAAGAATAAATGTGGAGTTAGAAGATTTGAAGTAAGTATCACCTTATAAAAAAAATCTCATTTTTAATATAATAAATTTAACAATTTGCTTTAAATTCAACTGATTTTAATATTTACTCTTAATACTTGTAATCAGGAAAACTAAAAAAATGTTTACACTTTGGGATAAGTATGCTGATAATGTGAACTCTTTCCTTTCTTTTAGACGTTTTGGTAGTATTATTTTGGTTATACATGATGAGAACCAAATATCCATGGATTTAGATATATGATTTCACATCTCATTTACTTGTATTTAGACTCATTTATATGGTTTTGAGGGTCATAAGTGCATTTCTTATATTTTGTGATTTATTATTATAGAGTGGTCAAATAACATGAAAATTGAGCGAAACTCATCAAAAGTACCGAAAATTCACTCACATAGTTATAAATTTCTTTTAATCATCTTCATCAGTGTAACTATATGTCTATCGCCAATATAATTCATCCAAATTTTAATACAATTATGAAAAGATGAATGATACAAATTTATCTGTGCTGGAAGATATAATTGTTCATTGATATTTATACTATTATACTACCATTTACACATTATTCTATTTCGTTGTAATGAAATATATTTCCTTCTCCAGCCGTGCATCACACAGGCATACATCTAGTTTAACATAGAAAAACAGAACCATAATAGATATACCAGTTTAGAGTCTCCGCAAAAATTTTTTTGTCTAGTGGTGGCTTTCTAGATATAAAAAAACATAGGTACAACTTCTAAAGATATACTATCATGTGCATTGATTTTGAGTTCCACTTTTTCCTACGCAAAATTCGAATAAACAAGCAGGAAAAAACTCTATTCCACTTTCTCTTGTATAACAAGGTTGGGCTCGGAACGAACTCCTTTCTCTTCTTCAACAGAATTAGTTTGGTCTGGGCTCAACTTACCGGCAAGTAAAGGCTCAGTAACATTGGTCTCTCGCTCATTTGTTGTATTTCATTAGAACATCTAATAAACACTAAGTTGGGCCATTCTAGATTGCATCCCAACTCGACTAGAAATCTGCAATCAAAATACCAAGATTACTCTGATCACATCATACGCATTCATTAAACCCAAGAAAAAGAAATAGTGCTACTAAAATCTCAAACTAGTAGAGAATGAATACTAGAGAACGAATAGACAAGAGAAAACCAAAATTTAAAATAACCAAAAACTTTACCAAAAATTTAGATATCCAAGGGATACACGTGGTAGATTTTCCAAATCATTCCATTCCCAAAAAATGCTATGGCCATTTATGGGGAAATGAACTATGCATTCTTGGTTTTAATAGTATCAACCTACATCACAATTGAACAAAGAAAAATGTCGACTGACTTGAGCCCATAATTAATTCATTTCATTTCAATGAATTACAAAAAAAAAAAAAAAGAAATGAGAGAAAGACTAAAAGTATAAAGTAATCACGAGAAACATTGACAAAACGTACGTCACACCACTCAAAATAGTACCCACTGTCCTCACTAGAAGTAGTCATTTCTCATATGGCACGACCGAAAAAATGATCACACCTTTAAGACTTGCATGGACTAATCCCATCACAACAGTGGATATAGGTATGCCAACACAAAATTTGACGAAATCAATCAAATAAAAACTTTGAACAATCGCCACAGACCCATTACTAACCAAGATAGGATAACTAAAGTTCACCCATGGTAAACAACACATTACCCATACACAATACTTGAACAATATTGCTATATAAATATATGGAAAGTTTTGTCCAATATCTCATTCATTCCTGATCTTCTTGTCAGTGGCCCAGATAACCAACAAAAATTTAGAGTATGTCATTATGTTTTTACTGAAACAAAATGTGGATTATAATTTTGACAATAAATTGATATCAAACTAAAAAGTACAACTAGTAATAGAAACCATAGATTTTGAAAGAAAAAAAATTTCGGAGTGAATGACATAAATGAAAGCACTCTATTGGCAACCCAAGTACTCAAAAACCATTGGACTACAACCTTTACTAGTTAAGGCCTAGCCCATTTTACTTCTACAC